GATTGATCAGTCTGTTGATCAATCAGTCGGTCGGTAAGTTGAGGGATGTCAGATTGTTGAGAGGGTTTGACGTTTAAGAGTAAGACGCGTCTACTGTTCGATTTGACAGGAATATTTGATCAGCTGATGCTGATTGAGAATGATTTTTTTCTGAAGTCAAGCAAACAGGTTATCCAAGTCAACTTCTAATTTCGAAATGATGTGCAACAGATATAAAGACAATAATATTTGTGGTGGAAACAAAAAAGCAAACTAACTGGACGGTCACACAAACGGTTTAAAGCTATGGGTATGGCAATTCACCTCCATTATCAAGGCTAGCCATTAATGAAGCTAACTTCAACATAAGCAAGTACAAAATGCAACACCCTTAATTTTCTTCCTGATTACAACTTTATGTAGGGCATTTAAGGAAAAATGCGCCTTTAATGCTGCAGTGAAGCTAAGGCATGAGTTCGTCAGCGGGATGGGTAAATTAGTCTGCACTGAAATTATAGTTTTCGAAATGTGTTTAGACCAGCTTGTACCCAGTCACCTGTCGCGTACGAGCAACCTTGGCAAATAGGCGTCTTTGAGGGGGCCTTTGCCGATTAGATGCTCGGGCTGGAGACTGTTCCTGCCATCATGACAGAGCTCACGCCCATGAAACCAGCCCACAACCTCGCTGAATCCTACCATCATCACAACACTTTACTCCATCACGAGCGGGTGCACTCAATGACAATCTTGCATTAAAACATGACACAACCCTCTTCAGCTTACGGAGAAAACACGCTAGTGGCATTCTTGTCACAACTCATCGCCTACATATTTGCCATTTCTATTTGACGGATTGTCTGCTTAAGTTAATTCCAAAAGTTAGATATGTCAAAAGCCAAAAAGTTAAAAATTGCAGATTCTTCTCTCTTAATGTCTTTGTCTGCAATAAAAATGAAACGCATGTTTGAGCAAAATATTTTCTTTATATCTGTTGTACTCTTTTACACATCATCGTTGGGTATAAGGCAGTTTGCGCACAACTTACCCCATATTTCTCCTTAACATAATGTGTCTCGTTTACCATAACACAGAATACGCGTTCAAAGTGCAACCCGGAACTAACAAAAGCATACAATCAGGTCTGACACCTCATCGAGTTCTTTGACTAGCAATACCATATTCAAGACAGTGCATAAATTATCGAAACGTAGAAACGAGCGTCAAGTTCTGAAACTTGATCGAAATTTAAAGATGTGACTAGTCCTTTGATGGCCATCCAGCGCAAAATGCGAGGTTTCATAAATTCCTTAAAGCGTCCCCAGGGGGGCTCAACCAAATCCAAAAACTTCCCTCATCTAATCGTGTTGTCTGCCTTTTAGCTTATGCAACAAGCAGTGGAACGGGGGCAAATACCCAGTCTGTATCGTATAAACCGATTAATGAAGGGCGCTACCAATTGGCCTGCGAGATATAAAACGAATTTAGGAATGGCCATGAAGAATTAAGTGATTGAAATCGTTTTGCAGATCCAAATGCAAGTGGGTTGACAGATAAGATTGCAAGCTATGAATTGCCTGTCTAATTCGCTATTTATATTAGTAAAGGCTGTAAAATTGTCCTGAAACGTTTCCGGTTTTAACCATTTTTCACATTAACACATTTCTGAACCTTTGCAATCTAGCAAGCTGTAACATCTTAGGCCGGCATTTCATTAGTCTTTTTAATTGACATGCCATCGTTATTATCTTCACCCTTTGCCAAATCATCCAACTTTTTCTCTCTCCTCTTAAGTTAAGGGATATTTATAGACTAAAGTGGCATTTTTGCTTGGGGCTTTATAAAAGTGCTCAGAAATATTTAGTAGCTGTCGGAAGAAGGCGCCCAATTCTTCTGCACCATTTAAATCACAAACCAATATTATTTTATGTAATCTTCCCCATTCACCTCTTGTTTTGTGTAGGGATCTTCCTGAGAGACTTACTCAATCTGCGCAAACAGGCTTTGTTGGCAAAATCTTCCTTCCTTTATCAATTTGCCTTCTCTTTTGTCTTGTCACAAAAAAGTTAGTTATTTATTTATCTCCTACCGCCTTAAATGCGTATCTATGTCCTAAATCTTTCAAAATTTACCATCGTATAGAATTTATCTTTCGTCTGTAACAACTATCTCTACTTTAAAGAGTTAAAGCATTTCAAAATCATGAGGCTAATCTTTTTGAACATAATTAAATTCACACGCGCAATTTTTATATAATTTAAGCCATTAGTGTGAATTTGCAAGTAAATATGCATGCCCTTGTGTACAATTAATTTTACTGAATGACATTTGCGTCTGCACACGCATTTGCAAATTCAAAACCACTAATTGTAAATTGAGTCTACTTAAGCATATTTTTATTACAATGGTAGTCAAAATCATCAATACACACATGTTTAGACTTAAGATTAATTTTACTGAAAGAAAATAAACTCACACGTTCACACCTATGTACATAAACAAAGTTCGTAAATAAATTCCTACACAAGTGCAAAATTGTGTATATGGTCAACTTCACTAGTATGAATTATATACCCAAATGCCCATTTATATACATATATAATTAAATAAGCTTTTAAGTAAATCCATGCCCACAGGCGCAGTTAAGTATGTAAGTAAACGACTTTACTGATTAAAAATTCATCTAAAAATTTTGGGTTACCTGTGTTTAATCAATTTTACCTATTGGAAAATGCATATACACCAGGGTGGACTTATATATGTGTATAATATATCATTAAATTTACAAATCTATGCAAATCTTGGAAATATTTTTCCAATTTAAATGAGTAATTTTATATGACTGGCCTCATGTATAACCCGCTCTACTAAAAAGAATAATTCAAAGGAGGATTATATCAATGTAATATCAATTTCAAAAAAGATCGTGCATTAACGCATTAATGCTCATTTAAAATCAAAATTTTTAATAAAAATGCATATTCACACAGGAAAAAAATAGAAAAACAATCTTTTTGTCAGTAACAACATGCTTTTTCCTATGATTATCTGTATAGCCGAATAATTCTGGTACTAAAAACAGGCAACCACACATAGAAGTTAATGTGGAAATTTGAACATTTTATTAGAAATGCCTTTGATTATTATTGTTTGCAAAATGATTAATTCCACAAAAAGACTATGGATTTAAATCTGATTGTTTCTACCTGACATCAAATTTAATATAAAAAATACATATTTGAAATAATTTCGGATGAAACTTAGTATTAGCAATATGCGTGCACACAGCTAGCTATAAAGTAGTCAGTCAGGCTGAATAGTATTTGCATCTGTACGTGACTAACTATTTATAAATTCAAGTCTTCTAATAAAATGCGTACAGGAATATAAGTACCTATGTATGATATTGTTTATTATAATGGGTATATTTAACCAAATCGGAATATCTTTAAAAAGTATTCCATTACGAGAAACAAAAGCGCACACTTAATTCTCTTAGCAAAATCGACTTTACAAATCATATTATTCTCTTACATTGAGTAATAGCTGAAAAAAACCAACTCTACCAATAAGAATATGCAACTACGCATTACTATCTCCAAAAAATCAATTTTTCTAACAAAAGTGGGCGCTTAAACGACATTACTTACATACTAAATCAATGCTTTTGAGAATGTTAGGCTTCTGAATATGATAATTTGTCTCTAAAAAAACCTACCATGAGAATAGGCAACTACATATAAATACCCATACAAAGTCGATATTCCCAAAAATTGAATTTACATAAGATTGTCTTGATGAAATTAGTTCTCGAAATAATAATATGCGCCTACTGTTCAACTATACATGTAAAGTCTACTTCTATGAATATGCTCCTACAGGTATGTTTTTTTATAATACTAATTCTTTTAATAAGTGTATGCACTTACGCCTGACTATATTCATAAACTTCAAATCTGCATCCATGCTAAATCATTTTGGTAGGTAATTAATTTACTACTTGCTATTCGTTACATTGGTCTTAATTGTAAAAAATATGCCCATGGCAATTTCGCTCTTATGAATATAGGTCCATGCATAATCATCACCCTGTAAAATCAAATCATGAAATGCAAAATACACCCACACATGCATAAATACATTAATTGCAGTCTGCAAAGAAATAAAATAATTTTGGTATTGAAATACGAACCTTAACGTAAATGACCATCAGTAAAATCAATTAAGCTAAAGACATGCAACTGAACATAATTATCTGTGTGAAATCAGTACTAATTTTAGATATGTGTACTGACAAACTAAGGATTATCCGACCAAACTTGAAAAAATTCAAATAAAATTAATGTTGTTAACCGCATTGTGGTCACAACTCATCGCCTACACTGTCGTCATTTCCAAAGAGCATGAGGTCTACCCACGTTAATTCCAGATGCCCGACTATAAATCAAAAGACTGGAAGAACACACGGATTGCCCTGTACCAATGGCTTTATCTATTGGAAGAAATGAATTGCCCCCTGAGTTGGGAGAATGTTCACCACACCGATTTTTCTGTCTTCACACATCTTTGTCGGTGTCTATTAGTTTATGTGCAACCTACTCTATGTATTTTCTGCATAAAATGAGTCCCTTTTGCTACGAAACGGGAACTCAAGTTTCCTTTCCAAACAACAAGGCAAAAGACGAAGTAGGCCTGAGTGGAGAATGTCTTCCGTGACATGACTGCACACATATGCAGAGGTCAGTATAGGTGTAAAACACGGAGTCTTTTTTCTCTGCGCCAAAAAATAAAACAGGACAACAGTAAAGGTTTGTAGCATTTCAAAAGGACTATGCAATAAAAAACAACTTCTTCTCAAGCTATACCTTTCTGCATAGTAATATATTCGCTGCCTATACACTCTGTAAAATATCAAGGCTAACCTTTGATAGCCAGATCCTTGCATAATTCGCAGCAGAAAGAGCCTCTGTAGGGTCATTCCTCTCCTCGCATCCATCAATTCCTTCCCGTCTAATGCACCAACAATGTGCTTTGGGCAATGCTCAGAGTTGTACTGCATACTGAATGAAAATGGTCGACGCTTAATTCGGAAGGATGCCTCCTCCTGCATCACAATATGCAAACCAATTAATGCGCATGACTGCAACCTCCAGATTACGCTCCCACTTCATCTTTCTACGGATATCCTCTTTCCTCTCCACTTTCCCAACATCTCGTATTGCTGTGCTCCCACTCACCCGCCTCATTGGCTGGCATCACTTCTAGTGCTCTACTTACGTGGCCCAATGGAATACAGGTCCACGAACCGCAATCAATACATGGCAATACTTGGAAGCGGTCGCGAGTATCTGGCACCCTCCACCACCCACCCACCTGTCGTCTACACGCACGTTTATTCTCCCGGTGCACAATCACATAGTGGTAAACAGACGTCTCGACCGAAGTTCATGTCTACCGACTACCCTAACTGGAGCATTCACTTGCCAGTCAAGATTAGCTCACGCCTCGAAGAGCAGTCTACAGGACAACTTCAGTCCACCATCACCCAACATCTTTGCTGCATCACAAATGCATCCACTAATGCTCGTTATGCACACAGACATGTACGACATTCCTCACTGAAGTTTCTAGACTTGTCTCGCATTGACGGGATTGTGCCAACAACGCATCGTCTGCACTGTAGTCACTCCCAATTGGCAGGTGTTCGACCCATGTTAAAATCAGATGTGGAATGATTAACAAGGAGGAGAAGGAGGCAAGACAGATCCTCGTCTTGTAGTGTGCTTGCCTCATGTTAGGCATTAATCACTTGTTGAAGTAGAGTACATGCAGCACATTTGTCCTGTCGTCTGCACACATTTTCGTTGGTGGTGTACAGGCAATTCGTCTTTCTTCTTGATAAGACGAGCCTCGTTTGAGAAAGGGGAGTGTTGTTGTTGGAGTGGATGGTGCCGTGTGGATGACACGAGTGTGCTCCTGGTCCCATGTACTTACGTTACTAGACAAAAGTGGGTCATGTGCGATCATATGGTGGACCACTTAATGTAGACCTCTGAGTGTGGCCGGCCAAAGTGGAAGGAGTGTGCTAGAGCTCAACAATCCTTGGGGTTAAGTGAATGATG